AAATTCTACTGACATTTATTTACACTGTATATTTGACAACCTTTTACAAGTATAAAATTTTTAAAATTTTGATTATACTCTACAATCATTGTGCAAAGTGACTCTAACATGTTTGAAGTATTTTTCTTCTATCAAATAATTTCTGTTACACTAGATTGAATATATCTTTCTGCAATGAAAGCAATTATTCATGAAGATCAATTAGTTTCTTACTTTTAGTAAAGCCATACTACAGTTAGAGTATAGTTTGGAAGGCTACAGTATTAGATTTTTTGCAAAAGTTAAAATATCTGGTGCCTTTATTAGCAGTCAGTATGGTGACACATGCAAGATTTGCATCATAACCACGTGCGATAGTCTGTGATATCATTGGCAAATCTATGACTAAAGGAGGTTTTCTAGTAAACATGACAACTAGCTGGAGAGTAGGTTGGCAGAGAAGGCCCTGGAGACTAAGTTAAATATGTCAGCAATGTGCCCTTGCCACAAATAAACTAAATGGAATTCTAGAATGCATTAAGTGCAGTATTGCCAGCAAGTCAAGGTGATCCTTCCCTTTCATTCATCACTGGTGAGGCTACATGTGGCGTACTGTTTCAGTTTTGGGTTCCTCAATACAAGTTAGGCATGGACACACTGGATAGAGTCCAGTGAAGGGTCATGGAGATGTTCGAGGGATGTTGAAGGGACTTACAACATCAGCTTCTGTAAGGAAAGGCTAAGAGAGCTGGGGCTGTTTATCCTGGAGAAATGAAGGGCTCAGTGGTATCTTGTCAATGTATATACGTAGCTTAGGAGCAGTAGAGAGTGAATACAGAAGATAGAGTCTGGTTTTTTTCAGTGGTGTTCAGTGTCCCAACAAGAGGCAATGGGCACAACTGTCAACACAGGAGGTTCCCTCTGAACATCATTTTGTCACAGTGAGGGTCACAGACCACTAGACTAAATTACCCACAGACATTGTGGACTCTCCATCTTTGAAGATATACAAAAGCCAGCTAGATGTGTTGTTGGGGAATTGGCTCCAGGTGACTGCTGGATGGTTACAGGCTCTTCAGGAGGAATAGGCAGGGCACAAGACGTCCAGGGGCGGCACTGTATGTTATAGAATGATTAGAATATGTGGCAATGGCACAGTTGAGAACCTCTGGGTAAAAATTAAGGGGCAAACAAATAATGTGGATGTCAGCATGGGAGTCTGCTATAGACATCCAGGCCAGGATGATTTTCAGGCAGGGAATCAGGAGAGTTCCCAGCTGACTGGAATTGTCCCAATTTTCAAGAAGGGTAAAATGCAGGACCCCGGAAAGTACAGGCCTGTGAGTCTCACTTCAGTCTCTGGTAAAGTTGCAGAGAAGATTATTCTGGGAGGTATTGAAAAACACCTGAAAGAACACTGCTGTTGCTCAGCCATCAGAGCTTCATAGGAGGAAAGTCCTGCTTATCAAACCTCATTTCCTTCTATGACAAGGTAACCTAATTGATGAAGGGAAGACAGTTCATGCAATCTTTGGGGATTTCAGGAAAGCTTTCAATATTGTCTCCTACAGGGTCCTTCTGGACAGAGTATCCGTCACACAGTTGGATAAACACATCCTGTGGTGGGTAAGCGATTGGCTCACGGGTCGAGCACAGAGAGTGACATCGGACTGGTGACCTGTCACTAGTAGGGTTTCACAGGGCTCCATCTTAGGCCCTGTGCTCTTCAGCATCTTCATAAATGAGTTGGACACAGGACTGGAAGGGACACTAAGCAAATTTGCAGATGACACAAAACTGGGAGGTACTGCTGACTCCCTCGAAGGCAGGGAGGCCCTGCAGAGAGACCTTGACAAATCAGAGAACTGGGCAATCACCAACCACATGAAGTTCAACAAGGGAAAGTGCCGGATTCTGCACCTGGGATGGGGTAACCCTGGATGTTCATACAGCCTGAGGAATGAGATGCTGGAAAGCAGTGCCATGGAAAGGGACCTGGGGATCCTGGTCGATGGCAAATTGAATCTGAGTCAGCAGTGCCCTGGTAGCCAGGAGGGCCAACCATGTCCTGGCAGGTATCAGGCAAAGCATCATCAGCTGGTCGAGGGAGGGGATTGTCCCGCTCTGCTCTGCACTGGGGCAGCCTCACCTTGAATATTGTGCGCAATTCTGGGCACCACAATATAAGAAAGATATTAAACCATTAGAGAGTGTCCAAAGGAGGGCAATGAAGACGGTGAAGGGCCTTGAGGGAAAGCTGTATGAGGAGTGGTTGAGATTACTTGTTCTGTTCAGCCTGGAGAAGAGGAGACTGAGGGGAGACCTCATTGCATTTACAACTTCCTTGTGAGGAGAATAGGAGAGGCAGGTACTGATCTCTTCTCTGTGGAGGGGAGGTTTCGGTTGGATATTGGGCAAAAGGTTCTTCAGCCAGGGTGTTGCTGGGCACTGGAACATGTTCCCCACAGAAATGGTCACAGCACCAAGCCTGACGGAGTTCAAGAAGAGTTTGGATGATACTCTTGGGTACATGGTGTGACTCTTGGGGATGGTCCTGTGCAGGGCCAAGGCTACCTTCCAACTCAGCATATTCTGTAATCTTGTGATTCTGTGACTATGCTTGAGCAGAGGGTTTGCACCAGTGACTGTAGAGTACTTTCCAACATCAGCCATTTTGAGAGTCTGTAAAATATGCCTTACAAGTTCCTGAAAAAGTATTACTTGAAGAATACAACAATGAATAATAGCAGTTGATGACAGCAGTTTAATTTTATTATTTTTTTCTTATTTATCATTGTGATAATGCCAGATAATACCCACAATTTAAATGAAAAAGTCAAAGTTTGAAACATCAAATACATGGAAGGAAATGATCATAAGTAATACATATTCCTGAGGTTTGTTGTGCCTTATTTCAGACATATAGAACAATCTTAATTCAGAAAGCACATAGATATTTTAACTAATGAATTCCAATATAGGTTAGTAATTTTAGAGTTTTTTTCATGATTTTCCACCCGTTACTAAATAGCAAAAACTATGAGTTATAAGTCCCAGCACGGCTCTCTGTCTAGATTGCTGGAGGATGACAGTCCCTTTTTTTTTTCCTTATGGTTTAGGGAAGGACCTTAGAGATCATCTAGTTCCAATTCCCTGCCTTGGGCAGGGACACCTTTCGCTACAGAAGGTTGCTCAAACTGAAAGCTGCTCTAAGGTCTCCACACAACCTTCTCTTCTCCAGGCCGAACAGCACCAACTTTCTCAGCCTGTCTTCGTAGGGGAGGTGGTCCAGTCCTCCTATCAACTTCATGGCCTCCTCCAGAATTGCTCCAACAGTTGCATGTCCTTCTTATGTTGTGGGCACCTGAACTGTACACAGTATTCTAAGTGAGGTCTCACAAAAGCAGAGTAGAGGGGGAAAACCACTTCTCTCAACCTGCTGGCCTCCTTTTGATGCAGCCCAGGACATGGCTGGCTTTCTGGGATGTGAGAACATGTTGCTGACTGATGTTGAACATTTTGTCACCCCTGAAACACAAGTCCTTCTCCACAGGGCTATTCTCAATCACTTCCCTGTCCAATCTGCGGGTCTTACTCATTGAGAAAGTGGTATTAGAATTTTCAAAAAGCAGGATGGTGTCAACCTTGTAAGATGACTCTTCGCTGTTATGGTTGCTCAGCTGGTACATTAAGGGCTATTCTCTTCTTTGTATATCTCTCAAGTGAGAATAGGCCAAATTTTTATCTAGGAATTGTCAAACTGCAAGAGGCTTCCTTGTTGGGGAAGAGATACAATTTTCTGTAACAAATTTCTGTATTGGCTCAGAAATGTTAATAAACATTTAAAGGCTGATAGAGTTGAGATAGACTTGTTTTGCTTAAAGCACTATCATATACATAATTCTAGTCTGAAGGAAATCCTTTGAACATTTATCAGTTTTATTCAAAGTCACTTGAAACATATTGAAAATTAGCAATGTTTGAGTTAAAAGGAAAGAGTGACTACTGTGGTCTTTTTCCCACACTTTTGACGTAAACAGCCCTTTTATCATATTCTAATCAAAGTATAAAAGTAATGACTAGGCAAAAAGCAGTGTCATTCACTGGACTTAAATCATTAAAAAATTCCTCACACTATTCTTTTCAGCAGGCCTGAATTCCTTTGGGCAGCAATGATATTACAAATTCATATTTTACACAGCTGTAAAATTCTAGGAAATTTATTTCCATTTTATTCTAGATCTAATATCTAGATCAAAATTTTTGATCAAATTAATCATAACTTAACAAATAGTTCCAGCAAGGATTTTCTTTACTAATGCAATTCATTATTATTTTTAAAAATCTACCTAATTCTCAATAATTAATTGACAGGCATTATGACTATGCATCCCAAAGAAATAAAATATATATCTAACTACCTGATTTTCACCTAAACCATGTTGTAAGAGTGGAAAAATTAAAATGAAGAAATGAAATATAAACTCAAAGAATAGGCAGAATATTTATATTCTTTAAAAATAGGAATGGTGATAGGTTTGAACTGTATGTGGAAATGAAAAAAAATGCTTTAAGGTAGCAAAGTCTTATAAGAACATTAAAATAAAGCATATAGTTGAGTAATAGATACTTTATTCAAGCATCACAATAAAGTCAAGACTGAGAGGTTGATGGTCGTGCAGTTTGAGATCCCTGAGGCAAATCTGATTTGAGAGAGAGACCAAGATGGTCCTCTGCAGGTCCAAGCACAAGCAAGAAGAGAAAAATAACTATTTCTATTCAGTCCCCGATATAATGTCCTGCTTCGTTTTAATCAGCAAGTGTGTTGCTCAAAGACTGTATAGCTACAACACAAATCTGAATAATAAATTAATGTATACAAATCCTCTTTCAGAAACAGTTTTTTGATGCAAATGTTCAGGAAACTAAGAAAAAAGACAACAAAACCATATTTATTTTAAAACCCAAGTATAAACAAAAACTCTGGCATGTTGGGTATTACAATGGCGTCAACTTAGTACCTGTCAGCAGCACAGGCTTCCCTGCATTCAGATTTCCCATCCACTATGCATGTGATATCTTCTCTTAGGCACTCCCATTTCCCAGAGATGAGACCTGAAAACCAGACAACTTATTTTGACAAACCACTGGAACTTATAAACATTAAAATACCCACTATTACGTTGCAGACATAAAGAATAAAAAAGGTAAAATAAATTGTATAATTACTTTTATGTAACAGGAGTAGAATAAAGTTTGAAATGAAGTAGGAATATTCCCTGATCTAAAGTAAGACAGGAAAAAAGATAGTTTTTTCTTCAACATGTAGAGATTCTATGTAAATTGATTCAGGCTAAGCTAAAGTGCAGCAGAATGAGATGCAAGATAAAATTTCTGGTAAATATACATCATCTTCGTTTAAAGCTTTTAGAACATATTTGTTTGGAGAAAAACTACTGGAGCTTTATACAACTGTTTAAAGCTCTGTCTCATTTTATATCATGAAATATTTAAAAGAATATTGAAACAGCTGATTGCTCCACTACTTTTTTTTATTCCAGTATTTTGCAAAAATGTCACATCGGGTCTTAAACTCCTGAACACTGGCAGAAATTATACATGTTCACTGTAGATATTAAACATTTAGAGGTTTTTTTGGGTCATGTGATGGCTGGAGTAGGAGATTGGAATTCTTGCAGGTATTAAGACAAATATGGGCAGGCATTGACACCAGTCATGAGTTTATCTCATGGAAAAGGTTTATGGCAGAACACCAAAAGGAAACATGTAAAATAGAGTTTTTCATTGAAAACTGAGTTAAGCATTGTAATTTTTTTTTTTTTATTTTTATGAAAGGGCATTAGTAACAAAGATCTATGTTTTGTGCCTGTGATAAGATCTGACTTATTTTCCACAAAAGTGTTCACTGTGGTAATATCATCCATGCTGAGGTCATCACAAGGATGGAAAATGAGCACTATTTTCTGAGTGATAGAACTGAGCTTGGCCAAACTACGATTACAGGTTGCTTTTTACATGTGTCTACTTTAATTTCAGTCTGTAAGTTGTTCTTCTCTCTTCCCTGAACAACACTGAAGGTCTGATTTTTAGAGATATTGAGCATTCAAACCTGAAACTTTTTTCAATTAAGAACTTGTTTTTGCACTGTCGTTCCAAAGAAGCATTTAGTTAAAGCTGCAATGTATAATAAAATATATTACAGACAAAGGAGTTGTGTATATTTTAGGCAAGAATCAAAGTATTGCGTGAAACCAACTGTTAAGTAAAACCAGTCAGATCCTGATTCTGTGTGAAATGGTAATGCTTGGGGCTATTTTTACAATGTATTCAGAACTCATATGTTAGCTTTAGAAAATGTCAAATATATGAATGGAGAGGTTTCAAAAACACTCTGCTCAAAAAAATAAAAAAAATTAAGAAAAGAATAATTACATTGTTGTTTCCAGTGTAGTAATCATCCCGTAAAAATGCATGGAATATCATAATAATTCTAATAATAATAAACCAAGAAAAATGATAATAAAGAGTTTATTTTTCAGTGGAGATGTAATTAGATTAGTCTTCATAAAAACTGAGTACTTACAATGGATTGCTATCAATATATTGTCTTCTAATCTTACCATGTGGGATTTGTCATTGTGACCAAATATACTTCAAGATCATGAGTTCAGTGGGGAACAGAATGATGAACTGTGCTCATTCCATTCAAGGACATCATCTCTCATAAAAGAAAGCAAATGGATTTCTTGTCAAGAATACCAAAAGGGAAAAGTGCATTTAATTTCTTATGGGAAATCTATCTGTGAAACGGGAAGACAAAAGGAGTTTGATGATGGCCCAAAACAAAAAGACAACAGAAGAGACTAAGACTGAAAATCATCAATTTTTGCATAAGTAACTCCATACATTTCTTGTATCAACAAAGAATACTTAAGTGACTATAAACACGAAGAGTCAGAACCGAAAGTCTCTCAGTATTTTTTAAACTGAAATATATCTACCAAATTAGATGGAAAAAATATAAAATTAGAATATAGTTGCAGTTAAAAGTTATAGATGATGTGAAATACTTTGTGGATTTTATTCTTTTTCCAGTAAGACACTTACAAAACCATGGTTTTACATTCCTGAGCTCATTCAGTTGAATTCATGGTAGAGATAGGAATTTGCTAAACAGCTGTAGTTGTCTTATCAATGAACATACCCTAATTTGTATTTACGTAGTAGCAGCTTCCTACTCAAACTTTCCCTGCACCTAAAGCTGTGTCAACCCAGAGAAGGCAAATGTACTCTCTTAGAGAATATGGAGAATAACATTGTGTCAAACAGTTTAAATTCTATCCTGAAGTTCTGTTTGGATGTAAACACTAACTTTACTAATGGAAGTAGTCTTCTTATTCACAGGAAAGTAAGTGAAAATGACATGAAGACGACTGAGGTACTCAGCAATCTCTTTGCCTCAGTTTTCACTGACAATCACTCTTCTCACATCTCCAAGACCATGAACCTTAAGACAGGGACTGGGAGAAGGAAGACTCATCCATTAGAAGAGAAGATCAGATTCAAGATCGCCTGAGGGACATGAATATACAGATGTCTGCGGCACCCAATAAGATGTAGACCAGGCTGTTGAGGGAACTGGCTGATGTGATTGCCAAGCTGGTCTCCAACACATTTGAAAAAGTTATGGCAGTCAGGCTAAGTCCCAGCAACTTCACACTCATTTTAAAAAAAAATAAATAAAAAGGAGGACCTTGGAAATATTGGCCAGTCAGCTTCACCTCTGTTCTCACTGAGATCGTGGAACAGTTCCTCCTGGAATTCATGTTGAAGTATGTGGAAGATGAGATGGTGATCAGAGATGGCCAATATTGCTTCACAAAAGGTAAATCCTGCCTGACTAATCTTGTAGCTATCTACAATGAAATGACTACATCAGTCAGGGAAAAGGGGAGAGCAACTGATGTAATCTACATGGACTTTTGCAGGACTTGTGATATGGTCCTCACAATTCTTTCCTCTAAATTGAAGATATGGATTTGATGGATGGACAGTTATACAGAATACAAATTGGGTTCACGCTGACATCCAAAGAGAGCAGTAAACATACCAAACTCCAAATGGAAACCAGTGATAAATGCTGTCTCTCAAAAGTATACACTGGGACTAATATTATTTAATATCTCCATTGACGATATAGGTAGTGGAATTGAGTACACCCTTAACAGCTTGGCAGACCTCACCAAGTAGAGTGTTGTCATCGGTATGCTTAAGGAAAGAGAGGCCAAACAGAGGGACCTTGACAGGCTTGAGAAGCGGGCCCACAAGAACTTCGTGGAGTTCAAGGCCACATGCAAGGTCCTGCACCTGAGTCAATTCCCTTTATCAGTACAGAGAGTGATTAATTGCTTGAGAGCAGGTCTGCAGAGGAGGACTTGGTGGTGCAGGTAGATGAAAAATTAGACATGAGATGGAAACGTCTGTTTGCAGTTCTGAAAGCCAACTGTAACCTTGGCTTCATCAAAAGGACTGTGGCTAGCAGGTCAAGGGAGGTGATTCTCTGTCTCTACTCCGCTCTTGTGAGATCCTACTTGAAATGCTACGTCCACATCAATACCTGAACCTTTTAGAGAGGGTCCAGAGGAGGACCACAAATATGATCAAGGGGCTGGAACATCTCTCTCTGAAGAAAGACTAAGAGAGTTCAGACTGGAAAAGAGAAGGCTCATACCAGTATTTCACTATTTGAAGAGGAGCTTTGAAGAAATATTGAGAGAGAATTTTTACTAGGGCTTGTAGTGACAGGACGGGCGGTAGTGGTTTTAAACTGAAGGAAAGTAGATTTAGACTAGATATAGGGAAGAGATTTTTAAGATAAGGGTTTTGAGACAGTGGAACAGATTACCCAGGGAAGTGGGTGTTCCACCACTGGAAGTGTTTGAAGTCAGATTGAACAGGGTTTTGAATACCTGTTTTAGTGAAATAGGCCATACCCATAGGCAGGGGTTTGGAATAGTTTATCATTAAGGGTCCCTTCCAACACAAAATATTCTACAATTCATAAGATTTTTAACACCTTTTGAGACTTTACCACAAACAGTTAAACATTTCATATAGGGGTATAATGTATTCATATGTAAATATAAATAATTTTATTCTCAAGTTTTGCACTATTTTATACGTTTTATGAGTTGTTATTTAAATTTATCTTTCAAAACCACTGTCATTATGTGGTCCTTCTTCTTTAGTAACAGTATGTAGTACTTCCTCTATGAACAAGCATCTTGTCAAGTGAGGGATCAATAAATAGTTTGCTTATTCATTTTTATGTAGTTACTAAATATTTTGGTTACTGATAATGAATTAACATTAACATAGTATGACATATGTATACTTAAGTATTTTTTCTTTTTATCTTCTATGCTGGTTTATACCTTACCCACTTCCACAGTCTCTTTGGCCCCAAATGTTTTTCGACTGTCTTATTTCTGTTGCTAAAAGTAAGATGGATGTTTGGCATCTCATACATAGCAGTCAACACAGTTCATTTCACTGAGAAAAAATTTTAAATGCACCAAAAGAAAATGAAAATCCATGTCATGTGATTCTGATATGATCTCAAGGGAGTAATCTTTGCTGTTAAAATAACAATTATTAAAAATACAACACACACCATGGCCACGTGCAGAGTAAGAAAGGAGGCCTGCTATTTCAGCACCATATAGAAGTCAGAATTTTCATTTGATTGGTACATGGAAGAAATTCTTCTTCCAAGAAGAACTTTTCTTTTTTATTATTTTATTTTATTTATTTTTTTGTCCTTCTAAATCCTATGTGACTTCTAGGAGGTCTTGAAAAGCGTGATTTGAGCACATCATTCTAATTATTGTGATCGCTTGGCAATTTTTCACAGTAAAAAAGTCAGCTCCCTTCACCGAATAATACATACCTTTGCGCTATTTGTTCTGGCACCGTCTTGGTTTTCTGGAAGATTAAATTAGTTTAGGTCATGTTTCATAACCATTCTGAGATATCATGCTCACTACAGGGAAGCCAGTCACTGATTATCGCATCCACCACCTCATATGCCTTGTTATCAAACAGCAGATCCAGCTACATGTCAGTCCAACACCTTCTGGAAATCATGAGTTCTTGAAGCTTATTGCACTACATTGCCAGCAGATGTCAGGAAGGTTACAGTTCACCCTGAGAACTGGCATTTGTGACACAGAGGCTTTCTCCTACGGTCGAAGCTTGTCAACCTCCACACCTTGGTTGGGTTGACACAATGCTACCGTCCTTGCTGGCATGGTCTCTGGCCTTGCCCTATGAGCTCTCAGACCACCTTTTGCACATGTCGTAGAGGAGCGCCATGCACCCAAGATGCTCCTTCACAGTAAGAACAGCTTCTCTTCTTGTTCTGTCCGTCTTGAAGATCTTAAACCTGTCCATCACTCAGTGCAACTGTGCTAGCTGTCCTACAACACCTCAGTTTTTCAAACAATGTCCCAGTCTTGTGGCTGAAGTTCTAGTCCCTTCCGCTTGTTTCCGGGTTACATATATTTGTAAGCATGTACTTCAGGTTGGTTCCCTTACTTTCTGTTTCATCATTCTTTAGGTCTTTCTTGTTACCATTGCTCTTCACCTTCTGTTTTCCACCTCTTTCTACTGTTTATCTCTTTATTTGACTGTGCTTTGCAATCTCACTACTCCATTTTCCTAGTGTAAATCTCTTCTGACCAGGTTGGCCCGCCTCAACAAAAGTGTTCTTACCCCACTTTGCCAGAGATATTACATTTCTTCATGGCAGTCCTTGATACTTAAAGGTTCTGTGATCATAAAAGCCAAAACCTTGATGTTGACGCCAGCTTGGATGACGGCACGAGTTAATGACAGTCATATGCTGACCAGAATTATCTCTTCCCTTCAGCTGCTATCAGGGCACTGAACCTAGTAGTAGATGAGTGACAGAAGGCTTGGCCTGAAGGTACATCAGATCTAGCTGACACCAAACACTGCAACAGCACCAAGAGGAGTGTGTGCGATAGTACTGGGTGCCTTTCTCTAACTGGGGAAAAAACAATTTTCTGACCTGAATTACTGTCTAGGGAGTTTTGCTGCTTGTTGAGGGCTTGGATAAGGGATGTTTCTGATTCTGTTGATGATTTGCCAAGCTGTTTTTATTCTCATGGAAAAGTGACGTTAATTTTTAATATGTCTTTTCTTTTAAAGGAAGCAAAATTTCACAATGGATCAGAACATACTTGTAAATCACAGAATCTCACAGTATGCTGAGTTGGAAGGGACCCATAAGGATCATCAATTTCAACCCTTAGCCCTGCACAGGACCATCCCCAAGAGTCACATCATGTACCTGAGAGTATCATCCAAATGCTTCTTGAACTGTCAGTCTTGGTGCTGTGACCACTTCTCTGAGGAGCCTGTTCCAGTGCCCAGCCTCTGGGTGAAGAACCTTTTTCTGATATATAACACAGAATAAGTTCTACCAGTGCAGAGTGTTCTGACTTTATTTCTGAATTACCTGAAATGATGGATGTTTCTGATAATGTTCTCCATTGTTTTAGAAAATTCCCCTCCCGACTCCAAACATGAGCAGAAATCGAAAGGGTTTAAATTAGCATAAGGGTACTACTGTGAATGAAAAGGAGATGAGCTGTTCTGTTGCACTTTGTGTGTTGACAGAGGCATCTCTAGCAGGCATTTCATCAGATAGAAAGCTACAAAAGTCACCTTAATATTCCTAAAAACTCTACTAGCCCATCTAATAAAAAAAATGATTGAAAAAATATATTTTCTAACAATGCAGTCTAGTAGCTTGACGATTTGTATCAAACGATGATAGAGACTGTATGAAGCACTACTGTGAAGGAAAGCACCTTTATATCACACATTCTTGTTAAAAAAGATAAGAACTTTGAGTAAAAATTAAAGGTGAAATACCTTTGCTTAAAGCTGGCCAAATTACTAGACACACCAACTTTTGCTCTTCATCTCCAAGTATGTTATTTGAGTACGTCTTCCAAGTTGATATAAGTTTTTTCACCCAAATATCTTGAAAGTTATTCTCTGACAATAGAGATGATCTAAAGATAGAGGAAATGCTATTCAATAGCAGCAGATCACTGATACATGGTTTATTAAGAACATAGGAGCAATTGCATTTTAATCAACGTGTTATCATCCACATTGTGTCATGGATGAAGATGACATTAAGGATATCTTAACTATGCAATGTTCTGGGAGTATACCTTAATGTCAAAAAACCCCTGTTGGTGAAACATGGAAGAAATGAAATAAATTTAGGGAATGGATAAAAAATATAATAAATATATTTTTATATATATAAAATTATTTTATATATAAAACTATTTTTATATATATTAAAAACCTCAAACCCTATTCCTTTTTAACCATATTTTGCTTTATATTATTGCCAGATTTTATAAAGAAAAGAAGAAAAATCAGTAAGGACCTCTTGTAAAGAAGGAATGCCTTCTAATTGTAAATTGAACAACTTATTAATTTCACAGGACTATTTCATTGGAAGGTGAGTCGTTCTAAAATTAGCTACAAAGGCTCCTTAATTTAGAACATGAAGACATATCATGCTTCTATGGTTGTAATTTGAAAATTAAGTTTGAATAGGAAGAAAATGGTCAGACTCCAAATCCTATCTCTCCAACACGTCCACCTTGTGGGACTGTGTTCATGGGTGACCCATGCCAGGGCATTATATCTCCTGGGGGCTCACAGTTGACCCATGCTGGGGGAAGGACAAAGGGTTGTGACACTCTGTCCAAGGGTAAAAAAAGCCTTTACTCACGCAGCCTCACTTTTTATGACGTCTGTCACCTAAGCTGCAGGCATAACCCGCAGAAAAATTGTGGAAAATTTTATAAATGTGGAGGAGACAAGTGTTTATGTAAGTGTTTACTGAAATGGTTATGTTCTTGTTTTTCTTTTCACAGTTACTGAGTCAAGGATTGGAGGTTTGCTTTGTCTGCCAGTAAGTCAAGTAAATACTCCAGCTCTAGACTGCTTTGCCTGTGACTGATGGTGGGAGAAACCCATCCAAGTACAACTCATTCTGCGATTGTTACAAGTAGGATTCTGTGAGGCACCAGAATTGTTGGTTGCTTTAGAGAAGCTGAAAAATTTTAGAAGCCTGTTTTCATACAGAGCTGTCAATTTCTCAGTTCAGGTCTCTCTTTGTCTCTTTCCCATTGGTCAGGAAAAATTCCTTCAAAAAGTCCATTGAAGCTGATGTGTCTTCATGAACTGTTTTCACTTCAACCAGACAGTAATTTTCCAGCAAGAAAGTCTATTGTCAAAAGTATTCCAAGGTAGGTGCTGTAAGCATACATCCCTGGATAATAGACTCACCAGGGTACCTTAGTGCAGCATGGGTAAAAGACAAAAAGGAAGAGATTGGTCTTAACTGACACATGTCAAACAAGAAATATCCTACAACAGGACATGATACTGAAGAAATATTGTTTTTAAACATGTCTTTAAACATGATTCTCAACAACTCAGAGAAACTGGAAAAAAAAAGGGAAGGAAATTTCAGGAAAGGAAAAGAAAGGAGAGGAAATTTCAGGAAAGGAAAAGAAAGGAAATTTCAGGAAAGGAAAAGAAAGGAAAGGAAAGGATAAAGAGTAAATTAATAATAAACAATGAAAGGAGATAACTAAGAACATCAGCAGGAGAAGCCCGAGCTGGTGAAAGGTCTCTGCTGATGACATTAGCAACCCAGCTTAGCTGAGTGACTGATCAAGTGACACTAGTACAGAATCAGTCTGTGAAATTATATCATGAGTTGTTATGTGAATAAAGGACATAGTGTTTATCTCATATCATATGGAGATCATCAGCTAAAAACACTAAAGTTCTACTTTTCTGCCACTGTAATTGAATAAATTATAAAGTTTTACACAATAAAGATAATCTGCAATGGAAAATAAGAGCAATTTTTAAAGAATATTAAAAGGAAAGCCAAATAGCCTTCATTCTTGGCCTACAATAGCACCAGAAAGCTTAAAATTTTGTGGCTATTTCTTACATGTAAAATATTTTTTATTAATTTTTATATAAATAATTTTATAGAATGAAAATAGCTTATCTGTTACTAAATGCAGACCTCAATATAAACATAATTTATTTAAATTATTGCTATTTTTAATAGAAATCTATGAAAACAACCCAGAAACAGCCAGTAGGCTGTTAATATGTGGAAACAGGTTGTAACAAGTAAAATCTAACCTAAAAGTATTTGGATTTTTTAGGTTAAATGTTGACAATTAAATTAAAACATAAGTAAAATCCCGGATTATGTGTGTAGCTCTGTGCCTTTAAGTGTAAGGGCATAGGTGAAATAGTTGCTGGTAAGAGTTGGGAAATAATGCAAAATGTTATTCCAATGTTTTCAGAAGCTTTGCTTCCTTTAAAAGGTTCTTATACTTGGGCTGATGCCACTGAGTGTAATGTTGGGTGTGCTTTTTGCAGTGCTTTCTTTTCTGTGCTGCTCATTCACAGAAATTAATCACTCATTGATCTTCTGATCAAGCATGAGTCTGCACACAGGATTTGTTGGCTGTGGGAGTTGCTAGACTACAGGAAGGAAGGAAGGAAAGAAGGAAGGGAGGGAGAATGAAAGAAAGGAAGGAAGGAAGGAAGGAAGTCCTCTAACTCTTTTTTTGCAATTAATATATTTTCCTAGGACCATATATTACAAATACTCTTTCAGTGTATCAACCAGTGCTTAATATTTGGGCACTTTGTATGTTGTTTGTCTTGTTTATTAGTATGGATATTGCTTTTTTATTTTTTTTATTGCTAACAGTACTCCTTTTCTCTTTTAAGTGAGGATGCATTGTATACAAAGAAGTCTACAAGGGAGACTAAGCTCCTTATGGCTTTGCAAGTTCACAAGAGATTTGCAGTTTGAATTGCTACCTTGTTTTCTGGCATCTATAGATTGAAAGAATGTAAAAGAAGTAATCTTCAAATATGATCATTAAACTTTGTTGGTAGTTCCTTTTAATTTTTTAAACAGAATAAAAAAGATTAGGCACTTATACTCAGCTATGAACTATAGCGATTTGCAAATCAATGCTTGAGAATGAGAAAAAGTGAGGCACTTCTGTCCAAGTCATCTTCTGGAGTAGAATTAAAGGGTGGACAAATCCATGTAATAACAAACTATTTACTGAGCTCCCTCCATATTGCAGCAGTCTTTCAAACCATTTACAGACCTCCAAGTCCCAGTTCTACAAGTTGTACTGAAGGTAATTTGTGTAGATTAGTCTTTCACCATTTAGTAAGGAGTACTCATTGGAAGAATGGAGCAGTGAGGATATCTTACCCCATCTTTGGGCTTTTATTCGCAGCAGATATCTGAAGAAGACAACCACATGTGATAAGGTCTTCAGATTTTGCAGTTCATGTAGTACCAATATGACTAAAATTTGCAGGGTCAAGGCAACAAACCTCTGTGGGTTACTCCATAGCAAACTGTGGCTTTCAGAGAATGTCTACTACAGAGAAAAGCCAAGCCAAGTGGTGTGGTTGCCAGATCAGTGTACTTGTGGGGATGAGAAATAGGAGGTCTGTCTTTCAGTCGAAACTTTCAACGCACACTTCACAGAAGAAGAACTTAGTATTGTGTTTAAATAGTTCTCCTTTATTCTCACACACTTTTAGACTTAGGAGTCTAAGTCTAAAGTAGGATTTCATGAAGTTATGGATTGTCCCTGGATGCAGCAGCAGTGACTGCCGTGAATTCCAGAGCCTCCTTGAAACATCAGCAGACAGTAATGTTGCAAACATCAGAAACTACTGGCCATAGTTATTTGTCCCATCTTCTTTTCCTCTGAAGACTTTCCTCTTTGTTACATAAGGATATTTGATTTTCACCTAGCTAAAGCATACAATCTCCTGTATGTGGTATCTGAAATGCCAGACCTCTTTGCTTCCAAACATGGAAATAAAAGCAAAACAAACATTCCCCCTGCCTCCCGCTCCTCATAGAAAGGGAAAGATGACATGTCGACCCTGAATGCATGCTAAAAACAGGGTCCGATAATTGTTTCTTTCTTATCTTTGCTCTCTTTAGTACTGGCAAGTCTTATGTGAGGCATTGGATACAATACTGGTAACTCCTAAGTGAGGGGGTGCCAGCTGGTCCCCACCAGCTGCAGGGACCGGGTGCTGGTGACAGCAAGTTTCAGGTAGCGCAGAAAGAGGGTCACCTCTGCTGGAGGAGCCACCACTGGTAGGATCCTGCTGCTATTCTGTACCTGAGCAGAGTAATCAAATTGTCTGACTGGAGAGGAAGAGATTTAAACTACGAAAGGAAAAGAGTAGGAGCCATGTGGGGCAGTGATGAACAAGGTCAGCAAGCAAAGGGCCTGGGCTTACATGAAAAAAAGGGAATACATAATCAGAGAAACAGGGCTGAAGAAGAGTCGTCTTAAACATTTGTATGCAAGAAAGGAAGTGACTTCATGGCATTACTACAGGGGAAAAAGACAGAGCCTGTCTGGAAATCATCATGATGAGGTGCCTCTCTGAAATGCCTGTACCTGGTTGTAGCACAGAGAATGAACACAAGGAATTAGAGATCTGTGTGGAGTTGCAGGGCTATGTTTTTGCTGGGGTTGCAGAAATGTGATGAAATCACATTCAGGACTATGGAGTGCTATAATGGATAGATATAGGGTTTTTAAAAAGAACTTGCTTGGAACACAAGGATAGACAGTTTTCTTTCATATGAGAGAGGAACTGGAGTGCATGCAGCACTACCTGGGGATGGGGTTTTTGGGTAAGGATAAAGGAGTTGGACGGTATGGGGAACGTTATAGTGAGTGTCTGCTATAGACTGCTTGGTCAGGAAGAAAAGTAGATGAGACCTTCTTCTAGTTGGAAGTAGCCTTACATTCAGAGGCCCTGAGCCTCATCAGGTACTTAAATCAGCTCAATATCTGTTGTATGAACAGCAGAACAGACCATAAGCAGCCCAGGAAACTCCTGGAGGGAACTGATGACAACTTCCTGATCCAAGTGAT